TAATTGCTATTTTGCAAATCCAAATTAAAAACATACTTATTGTACATTACTAAAAATAATTATAAACCATTTCATCATAAATTACTTTTTATTATTTACAAATAGAAATAATATTACCAATTTTATTCTTTTCTTAAAATTATCTATATAGAAGACAATTTTCATTTACAGTTCATCAAGGACCAATATTTCTATGTTTCTATATTAAACATGTTTATATATCTTATTTAGCTGTAATGGATATTTCATAATTTTTCAAAAATTTGAATACTTTATCGATACGTATCACCAATAAGTATCGGTGAAGTATCTGAGAGTATCGGAATTGAATAAAATTTTCATAATATTTTCAAAAGTTAGGATACTTCATTGACACGTATCGGTGAAGTATCTAAGAGTACGTGTCGGATACGTATCGGATATGGATACGTGAAGCAAATTGAAGTATCAGTGTTTCATAGGGTATACCCGTACCCATACCCGTACCCGTCAATTTTTTTATTTTTTATTTTTTGTAAAAAAATATGATATTTTTAAATTATTTTTTTATTATATTATAATTATAATTAGGTTATTTCTCTATCTCATATTATAATAAATAATCACACATAAAAAAATATTAAAATTCTTTAATATAATTAAATTGAAAGTGAGAATTAAATTAAAAATGGGAACGGATACGGGTACGAGGCCGGTAAGTACATACCTGTACCCGTACCCGATTTAATATATTGGGTTTTACCCGTATCCGTACCCGGTCAAACCGGATATTTCTCGTCAAAGTTAGGACGGGTTCCGGTATTATCCTGCGAGTACGGGTATATTTGTCATCCCTAGTTACAATTGTGACAGTTCAGCTATGTGACAGTTCAGCTATTTATGGCTTTCCCTGATTATATGAACCAGAAACTGAAAGAAACATCAGCTAACTAAAACTAACTTCAGTAAGAGGAAAAAAAAAAATTTAAAAAAGGGGAGTAAATGACCAATTTAGTCCCTGAAATTGTAACTGTCACTTTAGTCCTTTGAATTAAGGAAATTAAAAAAAAAAAAAAAAAAGTCCTCAAAATTGATCTTTGTTACCCAATTTAGTCCAAAACAGATGTCTATTACTTAACACCATTAGCCACGCTTACTTGGCACGTTAAATGCCAGTTGTCCTGCCACATGGTTCCACATCACAGAACCAAAATGAAAGAAAAAAAAAAAAAAAGTTCATCTGCTACAATAGTAAAAGGAAGGAAGTTAGTAGGGGTAGACAGTTATAACAGAAGTTGTAGGACAGTAGAGGTCTCTTGAATACCTCATTGTAATCTCTTTGGCTATATTGATCAAGGGAATTGCTGAATAATCTAGAAGGTTCACGCTCGAATTCTTTCATTTTATTCAATCTTTCTATCCTATCAATTGGAATCTATCAACTGGTATCTGAGCAGAACAATCCAACCACGAAATTCATGGTTCGCCAAAAGATGGATGCAAGAATTGAAACGTTGGAACAAGAACTTCATGAATTAGAGGGAAGAAGACAAGCTTCACTGCAACAAATGGAAGATCAGTTGTTACAAAGAATTTGTGAGATATTGAGTAATCGTGAAGGTAACCCTAGTCCAGGGGCAAACAGAAACAATAGTGCTAATCTTGGAGGAAACACATGGGGAAACTTGAACCACGGAGGCAACGGCAATTCCAATTACATATCAACGAGTTCAGAGATTGCTGAAAAATTCAAAAAAAATGGAATTACCCATTTTTGAAGGAGAAGATGCACCAAGTTGGATAGAACGAATTGAGAGGTACTTTTGCCCGAGAAACATCAATGAACAAGAAAAAATGGAAGTTGTTCTAGTAGCAATGGAAGGGGAGGCACTTTCTTGGTTACAATGGTGGGACTCTTGCACCAAGAATCTTACATGGAAGGAGTTTAAAGAAGCAATCTTGAAAAGATCTCAACCAACAATGGTGGAGAATTCATTTGAAATTCTTCTAGGGATAAATCAAGAAGGCACTGTTAGGGAATATAGGAGGCAATTTGAGGTATTGGTAGGCCCATTAAAGATCAACCAGCCAAAGTACATGAGTGGGATTTTGTCAATGGTCTCAATGAGGAGATTCGAGCAGAGGTGAGGATTCGTAGGTCGTCTTCATTGAAGTAGATGACAAACATTGCATTACTAATTGATGAAAGGAATGGAATCAGCGACAAGAAGAGTGGGTATTTACAACACAGTACCCAATTCCATAATCAAGGTGGGGGAAGTTAGAAAACAAGTTAACCAATAGAAGGTCGCATTAATTCTAGGTTGCTTGCATACAACAAAACTGGTAGGCTTCAATCAATTGATGGATGGAACAAGAAGGGTGTTAAGAATCAAAGAATAGAGAAGAATAATTGATTGAAACAATGTGTTTCAATACACACCGAATGAATGTTTATATAGATTTATTTCATAGATTACACATGAATATAAAAGATATGAATTCCTATAATCTCTAAGATATCATCTCTACATACTATATTTAAAATCAAGATAAGATGATATCTAAGATTCTTAACAGAGAGAATACAACACAAAGCAAGTGCAGAAGAGAGGAGAAAAGTTTCCAATGGCTCTAGGCGACTTCCTGATGAGGAGTATCATGTAAAGATGAGGAAAGGTCTTTGTTTTACATGTAATGAGAAGTATTTGCCTACACATGTATGCATAAACAAAATGCCTAATATCATGATTATGGAAGATGGTGATGAAAAGAATGAGGAGATTGTTTGGGATGTAGGCTCAACTCCTGATTGTGACAATTCATGGGAAACAGTTGCAAATATGCAACATCAATTCTAGATTTTCACCTTGAGGGCAAGGTGAAAGTTTTAGGGGGGAGTATTGATAGGAGACAGATGGTTAAAAGGGTGTACACAAGACATAGAGGGGGGGACACAACTGGAACTGGATAGTCTTTAAATAGTGAAAGGAAATGAGTTAGTAGGGGTAGACAATTATAACAGAAGTTGTAGGATAGTAGAGATCTCTCAAATACCTCATTTTAATCTCGTTGGTTGTATTGATTCGGAGAATTGTTGAATAATCTACAAGGCTCACGCCTAAATTCTTTCATTCTATTCAATCTTTTTATCCTATCAATTGGAATCTATAAGTTATTTAAGGTACCAAGATTATCATTACTGAATCAAACCCACACTAACTAGGGTCCAAGTTTTATGGTGAATAATATGTGCAAGTTAAACTTTCCGTAATTAGAACGAATATGCAATTGTGCTTTCCTTATTCCAAACAATCCAAAAATTTCTAATAAAATTCTAAGAACACACCAAAAAAGGCAAAGCTCAAATGTGTAAACCTATAAGTCTAGAAGAAAACCTAAAATCTAATAAATATAAATAAATAAGTAATAGTTAACTCAACAAGGAACAACAGAATCCAAAAAAAATAAAAATATTAACATCAATCATGTAAGATACCCCCAGCAACTAAAGAGATTCCAACTATGGAATGGGGGTTTGAGTTTGGAGTAACAAATAGATTTTGTGTAGGAATTGCTTCATTGTGAAGGGAACTCCATGGAGTGGAGAGCATGGCGCATGGGGTTCCGGTCATACATGGTCATTGTATGTGGAGCAAAGGATGAGAGTGGGGTTGAGAGTTAAGGTTGGAAGAGGTGTGGCGGGAAGAAAGGCAACAGAGAGAGTGGCGATGGAAATCCTCGACAGTCATCTCCTAATACTCCCAAATTTGTTGCCATAGTTGTCAGCATTGTGGTTGTGGTTACTAGTGACAATCTCCTTCCAAACATTGTTGATGGTCTTCATGGTCAGGTCACAGACTTGAAGAGGTCGTCCATGTAGTTCAGGCGTAGATCGGAGAATGGGCAAATACAAAAGAGTGATGTGTGAAGATGAATATTCTTTAAATTATTATTTTGGTTGTTCACATGATGTGGAACCATGTGGCAAGAACATTGTCACTTAACGTGCCATGTAAGTACCACTAACAATGATAAATAAGGGACATCCATTTAGGGATTAAATTAACTAACTGGTATCAATTTCGGGGACTTATTTTTAATTTTGTTAAATCTAAGGACTAAAGTGAGGGCCACTTACAATTTCAGGGACCTAATTGGCTATTTTCTCAAAAAAAAATTCAGTTAGAAAGAGTTAACCTATCCTATTTATATTGAACAACAAAACTGCCTTGTAAAAAAATGAGAAGTATGCCAAGAAAACAAGCATATTACATAAATAAACAAGTAGTAAAATTTTTGGCTTTTCGCACCCACTAAATTTACCACATCACTGCTGAAAGAACATATTTAAAAGTAACTTATTCTCCTTTCTACTAAAATCCTTGAAAAATGATGAGAAAAAGACCTCCTAGGGAAACAAATTGAATGCTTCTCCAAACAAACCAAATGAGTGGACTCAACTCTCAAGAGTGTAGTAAACCACTTATTTGGAACGAGGGGACATGGGATGTAGAATTTTAAACTCTTCCATGTTGCAGTTATCAAGGACAGTTATGTGTTTAATAATGCAGAAATACAGTATCTAATTAACCAGGATGAATATGTAGTAGTTATGTATTCAATTCTGCAGAACAATTATGTAGCAGTTGTGTCTAAGTATGCCAGTCAGTAATATGTAGCAGTTATGCATTCCTCGTAAATAAGTACAGGTTTGGAGCTCCCATCTAGCAGGCCAAAACCAGGCCTAACCAAATTAAGTCACCATAGTGACCAATATGTTAGTCACCACACATCAATTTATCAGAGCTAATGATACACAAGCACACAATAAAAAAGGCCTCAACATTATTTAAACTTAATTCAAACCAAAAATTAAAATGTTAAGGATAAGAGAGATAAAGCAGGGAGGAAAGAAATAAGATTCAAAAATATATAAGAACAACTGTAAGAGACTGTCATCATAAAATGGAGGTAGTGGATAATGAAAATAAAGTACCAGCCTGTAGCAAAGATCCTACCTAAAGGACAATATCTTGACAGAAACTGGCTTCAATATAAAAAGTTTAATCTGATGGTTTTCTTCAGACTTCTCTAAATAAGCATTTGCTCCCTTTAGATGAAGGTAGGAACCAATTGAAACTTTTCCTGAGGATACATATTTATCATTATTTGGTTTTAGAATTTCAATTTCCCGAGACTCCAACTTAACACATTCTGCTTTGGCATTGTCATGACCCAATTGACCTGTCAATTGTGCCATAACAAATGAAGAAGGTGAACCAACAACCACTTCAATCTCATTGAAATCAAAAGTGAGGTCAAAATTATCCTGATTGATAATGTCATCAGTGTTTTCACCACCACGATTGGCCTCCCTTCTATGTGAAAATCTAACAGAAGGACCATCAACAAATACTCCAAAATGAATGTGTTTCTCTGGAAGCTTTTGAAGCAAGGTCATAATCATTTCTTTGGAATAACAGTCATATTTATTAACCCATGAAATTTCTGCTTTGTCCACAAAATTTGAAGCAATGGACGCTTCCTTCCTGTCCTCCCAGAAAATAGCATGTTGGATCTGACTAAGAATTAGACACAGCGATGATACTGAAGAATGAGTCAAAACTAAATTTAATTTCCCTAGCATTAAACCACATTCACAAAACCCAAAATATGGATTCTTATGGTCTGGGTACGTGGAAGATATCTCAACCTTAGAGACAAGGCATGGATATTCAGAATACTCGATCTCATCTTCATTCAACTTTCTGCAAATTCCTTTCCAACTCACAGACAACTTTTCCATAAAGCTTTCAATATGAGAATCATGAGAATATTCAGCCTGGCCTGCATCAATTTCTGAAAGGAGAAATATTTGAGCAGGTTCAACCCACATAATTGATTCCATATTATTAATACTTTCCTTCCCATTTCCTTTAGCTGAACTAAGTGAATTTTCTGTGCATTCTTCTGCTGACATAGTCAAAGGTGCAGATTCAACCTTCATTTGCCCACATGATAGAAAGACTCTCTGTTCAAAAATATCTTCAACAGATACTAATAACAAAGCATCAATACAAAAACATATCGAAAGGAAATCTGAGCATACAATCCCAGAAAGTGATTGTAACTTTTGATATATGAATGGATGAATTTCATTGGTTTGGGAAACTGTCATTATGATTTTCCCAAAGTTCAGCATAAAACAACTACTTTGACAAGGGTCTTCAATAAGACTTTCCAAACAACATCCATCAATATCTGGATCTTGCACTATTTTTTTCTGAGAAAAGATATTTGCTAGGCAATGGATAATTGTAGAGACCACTTTCCACATAAATGCCAGTATAAAAAGAAAAGGACGAATAATATTTTTTGTCGTGATAGATTCCTCATGACAATTAATTGAAATTTTCAATGCTGCTCTATGACGAGCTATTCTCCTTGCAAGTGATATGGCTTCAACAGACAACTTTTTCTCAATGTCAGAGATCAACTCCCAATGGCATCTAGCAGAACTTAAAATCAGTTTGTTACGAGACACTTTAGAAATCGACTTTTTCCATGAATTGCCAGTAGAATATCCAATTAATAGCAAAATACTCTCATAAGCATTGACATAGTGTATCCATTGACCTATAACCCCAACTAATCCCTGCAATGACAACCTAGAAGTTACAGCCACATGGCCAATTCTGCTTGCTGCTATTCTCCATAATTCTCTAGCACTTCTAGATTGATTGTACTTATTAGATAGCAATTTGTGAAAAAGTAGACATACAGAAATGCCATTTGGAGAGAATGAAAACGCTAGTTCTGGAAAACAGAGAGTGCAATTTGCCAGCTTAAGATCTCTGAACTTGGTGAAAATTTGCACATCAGAAGAAAGCACAACATGGTCTATGGAATTTTTTCCACATATTCTGACCTTGAATCCAATGCCTTTCAATATAAGAGAACTGTGTTTCATTGGAATAAGAATTGTACTAAGAAAACCTCTGAGAAGACATTTTTGATCCAGATATTTAGATCTTGCACTAAACTCCTTTATTTCCCCAAAACACACAAATTCATCATTTAAGACTGGCAATTGAACCTCAACGTGAATGCCATGTGCCACTAGATGACAATTTTTCAGAGTAAAATTCCAAAAAGATGTTGTAAAATCTTTTTTCTCAGGTACAGAAAATAAGATCCTTTCCAAAATCTGATGCAGTGAACAGCCCTACAATTCATACAAAAGGTAACTGGTAACAGTATCGCCATGATGACATTATGTTTACAAATTGAGTCTGTATGGGGAAGCAAAAACCAATTATCAGCCTAGGTAGGCCTTTCTATTAGGATTCAGAACAGATATCAATCAAAAAGCACATTTTTCCCATTTTCCACAAATCTACCAACTGAGTACCAAGTGGTTCTCCCTATTCTAGTAGTATTCCCTCATTATAAATAGGTATAAAATACAAACGGTTAAAAGTTAAAACATGAGATGGAGATGGCCACAATCTTCCACATTCAATAAATCCAAGTAGAAGTATTTTTCCATTATTTTACATCTACTTTTTAGAATACCGTTCTACAGAAAAAAAGGTTCACTAATATGCAAATCAGTACGGATCTCTTGATTGATCATTTGAAAAACAGCTTTATATATGTTTAGAAGCCTATTTTCTATCCAATTATTTCGAAACCTAGTTCTCCACAGTCTGTTGTCAGAGTAAAAAAAGGATGACTCGTTTTATTAGTTTTTGTTTTCTTTAATTTGTGTTCATTAGTTCTCTCTACTCTGCTCCAAACAACTATTATCTTAGCATTCACCAGAGTATCCTGAAGCATTAAAAGCAATCACATAACAAAACTCATCAAACAAGTGACTTTAAGTAATCATTCCACTAAATAACTTAATAATAGTATCAAACAGGTCAATGTACCATCCTACCAGATATAGTAACCGATAAAAATCACATCTATTATTTTTTAATCTCATTATTAATGTGAGAAAATCCGTTACTAGACTAACAAAGAACCTCACCAACTAGCAACACTCATCATCTACCTCAGTGTGAATCGTAAATTCAGACTCGAAGAAGTGCATTCGTTACCTCAGGATCAAGCGCCGAGAGATTCTTTCTGAGATAATCCGAATAATCATACTTCGAATTTCGCAACCTCCTCACGCATTCCTCCGCTTCCGGTTTCCTCCAAAACCAAACAGTAATCATCAGTTAAGGAACGGAAAAATAAAATAAATAAATAAAAGCTGATAGCGTTTCGTGGTGTGACTGTTTGATTACTCGAACGATTGCACGATGCGCAGGCCGTGAAGTTCGATTGTGAAGGCCGGGGGGAACCAGGTGGAGAATCGAAGCGTGACGCGTTCGATAGTGAGGTCCTTGAAGAACAAGAAGGCGGGAGCGTGGAAGAGGTGATTGAGAACGGAAACGTCGAAGCGGAGGTTGGTGAGAACGGCGAGAGAGCGGAGGAACCCTAAGTGGAGATCGAGATGAGGCTCTTCTCGGAGCCATGGCTGGAGCAGAGACAGAAGCCTCCGCCGGATAATGCTTTTCAAGGGCATGGAGAGAGTGAGAGTGATATCATGGGTTGGTTATTGGGATGGAGAAGGTGAATATGAAGGAAGGAAATAACAGAATTTTAGTGTGGGAGTGGAATGGTTGTCTTACTCGGCGGGAAAGGGAAATCGTTGGATGTATGTGTCCATGGACTGAACAACGCGTGTTCGAGTGGCAAACTGCCGATGCCTCTCATGCTTCCCGTGTGAGACACGTCATCTACTTGTCTTTGTCCTGCTTTATCGTTTCGCTAATATTTGTTTCATTTCAATTTCAATGGGTGATTGGAGTTTTCCTGAAACTATATTAACGGACCCTGCACATTTGCGAGTTTAATTTTTTTTTTTTTCCTGGAAAGTAAATATTTTACTTTTATTTCTTCATTTTATTATTATTTTAACATTTGTATTTCACGGGATAAATTTTTATTATTATAATTAGAATTTATAATAAATTATATATACAAATTTAAATATGTAATTTATATTTAAAATTTGTATAAATAAATATTTTTAAACATATAAGAAAGTTTAAATATTGAAATTAAAAAAATCATTTTTTCAAAATAATAAAAAAGTATCTTAAACCTTAATGAATGCACATAAAGAGATAAGTGATAAAGCACGTTAAGTGTTTTTATATTGGTTTATTTCAAACATTAATATTACGTTTAGTTCTTAATTAACTTGATCAAATTTCATTATCTTTCCAAAAGTTACTTTTCATGCAATCTAGGGGGTGTATTGGTTTAGGATTTCATAAAATTTTAAAAGACTTTTTTTGAATAAAAAAGTTCGTTGGTATTCAATCAGGATTTTATATCACTTAAAAACAATCTAATGGTATTCAATCAGGATTTTCAAGATTTTTTAAAGAGTCCATTAAAATCTATTGGTATTCATTTAAGACTTTTTACAACTTAAAAATAATGCATTAGTATTCAAAAATATAAGAATTTCAAATGATTGTTGTATTAGAGAGATTTTGAAGGACTTTTTAGTAGTATTTATAAATACCAAATTCATAAAACAATCTCATCCAAACTCATAAGATTTTGAAGGATTGTTTGAAGTGAATCTTCAAGTGCATCAAGAATTTTCAAGTGAGTTTTTCATCTTTTTTTTTTCTATGCTCATGTCTTTTCATAATAATACTGCACTACTACTCATATATAATATTGTACTACTGTTCCCATTCCATTTTCCTATATGTTAAAACTTTTATAGGTAAATGATATTGTCATTGACTTGCTTTATTTTTCTCTCAGTTCTCTTTAATTAACTTGTTCTATTTTGTTCTATTTAGTTGAGATTGTTCATCAATTATATAACACAGAAAATGCTTGAAATTTTAACTTTTAATAGTAATTTTTTTTATAATACGCATCAAGAAAAGGAAAATGTGAAAGCTAAAATTGATATCATATCTCTATAATCAACTATAAATCTTCAAGACCTTGTAATCAATTTAGATTTATATATATATGTAAGATAAATTTGAGTTAAGATTTCTGTGAGTAAAATGATAAGAATGGATCTTAGTTGGGAAAAAAACCCTCTCAACAGAAAAACTATGATTTCTCTCGCTCTCTTGAATTTGTTACTGTTATCCTTCCCCTTTTATGACTCAACAATTATTTTTTTTTTACTATGAATTTTATTTTTTTAAAATTTTTATATTATGAAATTAGGATTTTTTATATTTTAAAAAAGAAAATTAACATAAGACAGTATCTTAGAATTCAATCCTAAAAATATTTCTTCATGAATAAATAATTGAAAACAATTAAAAATTAAAAAATTATTTTGTACCTGTAACAAATTTTATGTATATATTTTTTTCTCCTAGTTGATGTTTGTAAATTTCTACTTTAGTACCAATATAAAATGAAGGGACATATTTAGTTATAAGAGAGTAGGGTAGTTGTCCCACTATTTTTTTAATCATTTATAAAATTATAAATAAAATATTTTAAATCACAAATTATAAAAAATTTGAAATGTTGTTTAGAATAATTTTTAGCATGTGCGGTACTACATAACTTTCTTCGTAAAGAATGTCATTCTAATGAATTTCCAATTGGAGTGATGGATAAATCTTCATCTTCAACATTACCGGTTAATGAAAATCATAATTTTGAGCTTATTATTAAAACCCAAGAGCAAGAGCGAAAAGATACTAGCTAATGTTTGCAGAACTAGTATAGCTATGGATATGTGGGTGAATTCTATTTAGAATAACATGATATTATGGAGAAATATTATTATTATTTATCCAGACATTATTATTATTTTTTTATATTTGTCTCTTTTTAAATTTGAATGTATGAAAAAAATCTTGAACTCTTAAAATTTATGAAATTCTACAAAGTCCTGCAGAATCTATTAAAATCCTAACTTAAAAGTCTTGCATAATCCATTAAAATCCTGATTGAAAGTCTTGTGGAATCCTACAAAATCTTAAAAGTCATGAAAATCTTGCAAAGTTTTTTAAAATCTACAGGACTTTTTTCAACTAAAAAAGTCATTTAAAATCCTAATTCAATACACCCCAGTATTTTTTTTTTAATTTTCCTTTTCAAGCAACTATCAAGTATTTTTTTAAATAACAAAGTTTCTACATACTTTAATAATCAAGTATTTTTTTTATATAAAGTCTCTTCAAGTTTCAAGTTAAAATACCAAACTAAAGTTGGGCAATAACAAATTTTTATCTTCCTCACAAAACGTGATACAACAAACAATTGAGTACAAAATTTTGCCTAGAAAGAATGAAATGAATTTTTACAATTGATGTTCTCTCTCTTTCTTTCTAAGTCTTCAAAAAGTTTTATATAAATATTTGATGAAGATGACCATTGCAAATATTGAAGCTTCACTCGTAAACTTGTTTCATCTTTCTTCGTCTTCTTTCATTGTAGAATAAAATGTTCATTAGTGCATTAAATGCGAGCATTAAATATTTCTCATCAAATTGTTACTTCTTAATATAGTTAAAGAGATTACTTATTACCTTTATGGTACAAAATAAAAAGAATTTTTGCGTGTGTCAATCAAAAATGATTTTATCCATGACTTTGCATACTTTGAGATATATGTTTGTCTTTTCTCTTATGAAAAACAAATCTTCATTCTTTTTTAAAGTTTGAATACTAGAGAAGTTTTTATTCTTTCAATCTATTAAAGAATAACATAGACATAGAAGATATGGTTACCAAACATAATAAATTATATATATATATATATATATATATA